TTGCTTTGCCAATTTGTTACATCTTGAAGGTTTTCCGTTCAGCCTTAATATTTTCAGCTGGCCTGAGTCCCTATTATAATTATGTTTAATTTCTTTAATCAGTTTCCTTCTAAAGCACAGATGCTAGTCTTTAAATTTTCATATCTATAGTTCTGATGAAAATGTTTTCCTGTGTTTACCATGTATATATACAAGTATTTTTGTAGACATTTTTCCTAGAAGAAGGGTTTTCTTGATAAAAAGATAGGTGCACTTTGGATATTGATGAATTAATCCTTAGATGTGCTTTTGTGATTAATCAGTTTCCTTCTAAAGCACAGATGCTAGTCTTTAAATTTTCATATCTATAGTTCTGATGAAAATGTTTTCCTGTGTTTACCATGTATATATACAAGTATTTTTGTAGACATTTTTCCTAGAAGAAGGGTTTTCTTGATAAAAAGATAGGTGCACTTTGGATATTGATGAATTAATCCTTAGATGTGCTTTTGTGAATTAAACCTCTCCTGGCCATATACAAGAAAGCTGGATTCTGCACCGTATCCAACAATGAATAGTGTCAACCTCTAAAAAATTTTAAGTGCAAATGGGTAAAATATGACATCTTCTTGTTTCTCTTAAGATTTAAAAAATATTTTGTTTATTATTTTTATTTCCTTTATGTGTATGAGTGTATTGCCTGCATGTATATAAGTGTACCCGTGTCATACACTTCCTGTGGAAATCAGAAGTGGTTTCAGATCCCCTGGAACTAGAGTTGCGGACAGTTGTTAGCCACCCTGTAGGTGCTGGAAATCGAACCTGGGTCCTCTGCAAGAGCAGCCAGTGCTCTTAACTGCTGTGTCATCTCTTCGGCCCTTCTTAAGATTAAAAAAAAAAGTTTATCATTTCTATTTTGTGTGTGTGAGTGTATTGTCTGTCTGTATGTAAGTGTACCTGTGTCATACAATGCTCACAGAGGTCAGAAGAAGGTGTCAGAGCCCCCAGAGCTGGAGTTATGGATAGTAGTTAGCAGCCGTGTGGGTGTTGGGATTTGAACCTGAGTCTTCTGCAAGAGCAGTTAGTGCTCTTAACCAATGAGCAATCTCTCCAACCCTCTACTAAGATTTTAAAAGAAGTTTTGGTGTTCTTCTTTATATGCAAATGCACACATCATGTGCCCTGGGACAAACATGTACCTGTCCTGTCCAGCACTCTCCAGCTGTATAATTCTGGAAGTCTTGGAGCCTGACATGTTTTCACCAGTAACTTAGAGAACACTTTCTAATTTTACTTTGACAGAATATTCCAGTGAACAGAATGAGATTCTGTTTTCTCTGACATTCTTTCTGAATACAGAAGCTATTGCTCATCTTCATTCCTGTTGAATATGTTTAATCCAAATTCCTTAGCAATGACTGAATTTTAAAAACTAACATGACTTGGCATTATGAGGCTGGTCAATCTAAGTGATGATGAAAACTGACCTGTCATTATCTTTTCACTACCTTTCCTCCCCATATTTATTTTTATTTATTAAAAATAAATCTTTAATCTATTTTTAAATATTTATTATTTTTGTTTTTGCATTTTTATGTACAGGTATCAATGTACAGACATAGAGGCCAGTAGAGGGTAGAGTCTAGCACCTATTCCTTTGAGGTGGGGTCTCTCCCATCAACCTGGAGCTTGCATTTTCCTGGCTAGCCTGGGAGCCACTGACCTGCTCCCCACAAATCCCATCCCATTCCTTGCATTGTTTCTCCCTCTGGAGCGAAAGTCTTCTCCTTTTCAGTTGTCATGGATGTAGTAGAAGATAGTTCAATGGCAAGAAATGTATTTGAGAGCCACTGTGCTTCTGCAGGGAGGGTATGTACTGGTTTGTAGCTGCCAACAGTCACGTGAACACCTGATCATTCTTATCAGAGCTCCACACCTATCTGATTGGTCAAAATCCTAAACAGTGGCATTTGAAATCCAGCTTCCCCCGCTCCCCTCCTCAGTTGCTCCATCTTAAATACAGCTAGGCTTGAGGGAATGGCTGGAAAATGGTGGCGAGGTTTGTCCACCACAGCCACAGAACTGCAGTTTCTCATTTTTCATAGCGACTCATTCCAATGTAGAAAAGCTTTGAAAGACACATGGACCTGAGAGCTGGCGTTATTTATTTATTTATTTATTTATTTATTTATTTATGTATCCCCCAAAGATTCGTGCAGTGAATAAAGACTTGGTGACCAGCTGATACAGTGTTGGGAAGTGATTACATCATGAGGGTCTGACTCCACTGAAACATGAATCTGTTGATGGAGTCATAATTTGATGGCATTATTGGAAGGTGATAAACACTAGGAGATGGGTTGGTGAGAAGTGGGTCCCTGGAGGTGTGTCTTTGAAGGACATGTCCTGTCACTGGCCTCTCTGTTCTCTCTGTGCTGCACAGGTACCAGGAGGTGAGCGAGTGGCTTTTCTTCATCACACCCTTCTACCATGATAAAAGCAATGGAACCATTCAGCTGTGGACTGAAATCTCTAAAACTGTCAGTCAAAAGTTAATATATCTTGAAGTACATTCCTTAGGTCTTTTGTCACAGACCTGAAAACGAAGAGAGTACAATAAAGTTCACTATATCTGAGTCATGGTCTGTGATAAAAATTCAGTTACAGGTGACTAATTTATATCTAAGATTTTTTGTGTGATATTTTATAGACTTTTACAGTTATAAAGTATTTATTTATTTATTTATTTATTTATTATTTATTTATTTATTTATTTACTTATTTATTCAGACAAAAACATTGTAGTATCCATGAAAATGAGGCCTGTGTATTTGTATTGCTCCAAGAGTGTTGTATGAGTTCTTTATGCAATATTTGCCATTGTATTCTATTTTATCTGCCAGTGTACTTGGGTGGGGATCATTTAGCAATAGGTTCCATTTAATAGTATGCATTCCTATAAAGTGTGGTTCTGTTTGATAATGTCCTCTAACTAAACAGTTTCAGGCTGGGAAGATGACTCAATAAAGTACTTGCCACACAAGCATGAAGAACTGAGTTCAGATCCCCAGCACCCACATTAAAAAAAAAAGTATAGGTAGAGACTGGGTTGGAGAGAGGGCTCAGTGGTTAAGAGCATTGGCTGCTCTTGCAGAGGATCTGGGTTTGGTACCCAGCACCCACATGATAGCTAAAAACTATGCCTAGCTCCAGTTCCAGGGTATCCAGTGCTCTCTTCTGACAGCCACACATTACAAGGCACTTGTGTACTTACATGCATACAGGCAATACACTCATACACCTAAAAAAGTGCATGTAGTGCACCTGCGAACTCCTCACAGGGGAGACAGAGGTAGGAGGAACCCTGGGGCTTGCTGACCAGCATGTCTAGCCAAATCAGTAAGTTCCAGGTTCAGAGAGATGGTGAGTCATTGAGGAGACATCCAGCAGCATCCTTTGGCCAAATGGACAAAAATTATGGAGTCTAAATAACAACTAAGGAGATGACTCTACAATTTGCCTACATCCTCCTAAGCCTACCAAGCATATTTAAGTCACTACTTCAGATGGTCCTGTTTATAAAGTGCCCAGGTATTTAGGACTTTTTTCAAGCAGGAGTCCTAATGAAAGACTGTTCAGCTGAACAAGCCATTGTCTTGAATGTCATGCTCCTGTAGTGGAGACAGTCGAGGAGCCCATCATTTGGTGAGAGCTGGCAGGAAGAATTGCTCATGGAGAGCCGCTTTCATCGGCTTCTGGACTATTTCAGTTTGACATGTTGGCTGTTTATCATCCAGTTTTCCCCTTGTTTATATTCCATGGTATGTTTGTCTTGGGAGCTAGAGCTCTGTCCCGGTGGCCAATGTAGCCCTGCTGAGGATGGAATGAACGGATTAGAATGGACACCAAGTGATTCGCTCGTCAGCCTCCTCTTCGAGTCCCTGATCCCCAGCCTTTGGTGTTGCCCTTCTGCCTCCTCATGTGTTTGATTAGATTTATAACAGCTGCTGTGGACATGGCTTCCTAAATCTGTGCAATGTTTTGCTAAACATAGCTGTTGGAACCTCCACATTACGCGTGTAACTCCCATTTTTTAATTTTAACTCACCCTTCATCCATTGTCTTTTACCAACTTGACCACTTTATGGTGCTAGTTTGGCATTCTCCAGCCTTATTAAGAACATTACTCCAAGTACCAGGGCTTTATGCAGCACTGTATTATTTAGCCAACCTGTCACTCTGCTTGAGCTATGTCTTAACAATGTATTTGATTGGAGATTCCAAGTTGTTATTTTAAAAGTCACAGTAATGGATTATGATCTCAGAAAAAGAACATGATCCAAAAGAACAATAATAATTAGAACAGCAGCTACTTAGAAGAAAATAAATGTCCCATCAGGGAGCACTGGGTGCTGTGTGCTACCCACTTGCCTTTGCAATCCCTGCTCTTTCCCCAGGCTGCCCTCCCATCCTGGAAGCCTCCCTGTGGCTCTCTGTTTTCCTCAAGTCCAGCTTCTTTCCTTTGCGGGGATTACATACATCTCCCTACCTGAGTGCTCCTCCACTGGGGAGCCCCTACCAGGGGTGCTCTCCTTGGTTTACTCCCCTGAGTCTTATCTCCTTAGGAAGGCCCTGCCTGGCAATAGTGCCTAAATGCATCTCTTCCCATCCACCACCTGTCCACATGTGTATGTTATTGTCTCTCATAGCATGCTTTTTACTAGTTTACTTTTTTCAACTTTAGGAAAATGGAATTGTGTCTCCTTGGTACTTGGTCTTCCCACTGAACTCAATGCTCCATGGGAGTGAAGACTACACGTTTCATTCACCTTTGATGCAACCAGGGCCATCCTGGCACCTGGCATTTGTGGGTGCTCAGTGTATCTCATGTTTAAATAGATGGAATATTCTGAGATGTCAGTGTTTTCTCAAGCCCGTGCCAGGATACTCTATATGATAGAATCTTGAATCTGTTGTGACTACTGTGGTTAAATGTGACCAACTGTGCTGGTTTTTCTCAGGCATATGAAGGATCAGAATAAGAAGGTGGCCAACCTCAAGCACAATCAACAGCTGGAAAAGAAGAAGAATGCCCAGTTATTAGAAGAAGTCCGCAGGCGAGAGGATAGCATGGCCGACAACTCACAGCATCTGCAGGTGAGCCCAGGTTTATCTTCTTAATCCCTAAATGGTTGTAGACAGCCTCTCTCTGACATTCAGCCAGTGCTGCCAGGAGTATACGCACAGGGATGGGGGCTTGGCTTTGCCCTGAGCACAGCACTCACAGAATTTTCTCAGGGAACTCAATAAGCCTTTCTCAGCAGAAAGGGTCATTTTTGAAATGATGGTCAAGAAGTGCTGAGGACAGAAGATTCTAGAAATGCTACGCAGACGCTCTTTTTTCCTATTATCACTGTAAAAGGTAAGGACTGCAATTACTTTATTGGCAAGAACCATCCATTTCAAATAGCATTTAAGTTGTTTGGGGGTTGGTGGAAGGGAATGCATGTCATTATCGCAGAAGGCATTTGGATGCGTTCTTCTGGTCTTAGTTTACATAGCCAGGCTCAAAATAGATCATTCTTCTGTCTTCTCCATGAACACAGTGGATATAGTTATCTCTCGGTGACATCCCCAGCTCACAACGCAACTGACCAAAACACCAATTTCTCCTCATTAACCACCCCTGCTTTGGAAAGGAGCGTCTTCCATATGCTCAATAAAACATTCACTCTGAAACGGGGCGTTTGCTTTGAAGTTCCTTTATTTATTCCAGTGTCTTTAAACAGAGTGATTTGAGTTCAACTTGGCTGGAGTTCACGCTAAATTTTGCATTAGTTAGTGTCTTTCTCTAGTTATATATTAGGTTTCCTCCTTGGAGATAGAAGTAGTTAGATAATTTCAGTGTGTGCTCATAGTTGATCTTTTTAATTGACCAAAAGAGAAATGAGTCATTATTCCAAAGAAGAAATCCAAGGAAAATCTGCTGTATATCACATCATAGATGGATATTTCTAAGTTAACATTAGCTTCTTTTTCCTCCGTTTCCCAGGCATGCCTAGTGGTGCCAGTAAAGCACCCTTTGCATAGATGCTTGTTCTGACTGTTCTCTGAACAGCATGGCCAGGACCAGGTCTCCTCTCTCCTCCTGGCCTGCTTTAGTTCAGATGGCTGCTGTGTTGTGCCCACTGCTTCCTCAGATCAGATCCGAGGTTTGATCTTAGTTTCTCTGTCTGTTATAGATATTAGATTGGAGCCTAAAGACTGAGATAGCAACTAAAATTTTCAGAATACCTAAGTGTTCTTTTATTTTTAAATATGGCATATGTTTTCATTTATCCCTCACAAGGATGTTGGTGATTTTACACTTGTGAAACTGGAAGTCTTAGAAAGGTTGTAAAGTGATATTCCAGTAAAGGGTAGAGGTAGACCTGACTCTTGAGTCCTCCTGCCTCCTATAAGCTACTGCAGGGAGACACTATCAGGACAGGCAGCTTTTCTCGAATGGTTCCTTAGGCCGGGTTATGATACTGAGTGTATAGTAGCTTTTATCCCGTTTAAATGGCATGCTCCGTGAGCTGTAGCACTCCTAAGTGTGAATGATAGAATAACTCTATCTGTACTAAGACAAAAAGGTGTTTGTTGGTTGAATGAGCTGCAAAGGACCAATGCAAACTCAGACAAAAACCTAGCATAGAACTGGGGCAATGGACAACAGACCCCCATCGTAGCTGAAGAAATACTGGCAACTGATAATTGCTAGGTGAGGAAGAGCTGATCTTCCTAAAGTGAGGGACTCCAGATGGGCTGACTAGACCTCAGCAGATGAACTCTCACTGAGGAACGTCTGGGGACACTAACTTGACACAATAGGCCTTAACACGAATGACAGAATGTAGGAATTCCGGTGGGGGGTGGAGGGTTATGGGAGGGTGCCAGCGGGGTCAGGGGTATAAAGATGATTAAGATTGAGATGTTCTGTATGAAACACACAAAAATTCAATTAAGAACTTTTTGAAAAAATAAATTAGCTGCAAAGGCCAGGTGTGCATTGCAGCCCAACTGGATTCAGGTATTCCAACAGCAATGCCAGACCTCTGCTCCCACCCTCCTGCGGGACGCCTCACTGTCACTGTCACTGCCACCTCCGTCCTCCTTGTTCTCACCTTCTGTTCTCCTGCTTTATCCTTTTGCTTGACTCTCAGGAAGCCTCTGCACAGGTGATGGCCAGAAGCTATTTGGTGTATGAGGAGACCATGAGAGTGAAAACTGTGTGTCCTGCGTTTCCTAGCTAGACAATTGCAGATCCAAGACTTAGCTTAGCCTGACTCCCTTTTTCATTTTATTTAATTTACTCATTTTATTTTATGTGTGTAAGTGCACTTGTGTCATGCAATGCCCATAGAGGTCAGAAGAGGGTGTCGGATCCCTTGGAACCAGAGTTACAGATGCTTGTTAGCTGTCATGTAGGTGCTGAGAACCGAACTCAGGTTCTTTGCAAGAGTAGCCAGTGCTCTTAACTACTGAGCTGTTTCTCCAGCCCCAAGCCTGACTCTCTTGAGATGAGTGTTCTGGAGAACTGGGAAGTCAGCGAACCATGAAATGGCAGAGTTGTCATGGATCAGGTGGGTTTTGAGCTCAGTGCACTTGATCTTGGGAAAGCAAACAACGGGGACAGCCCTCCAGGCTCAAGGACCACCAAAAGGTAAGGGACTGGAAGAGCAAGGCCTGGGTAGAGCACAGACCGTAGAGCAAACCCCTTGTGCTTGTGGGGGGCAGTTTTCAGTGAGGGGGTTTTGTTGTTTTCTTTCCTTCCCTGACTCTGGGTTTCATTCCAAGCTTCAAATTATAGACACTGAGTATTCTTGGAAGGGTTACTTTAATCTCCGTAAAGCTCAGTTTCCTCATCTGAAAAGTTGGAATGATATTTACCTTTACTTTAGAGTTGTTGTTAGTGAAAAGTCAGTGCTTACAAAGAATTTAGAATTGTTTGGCACACAGGCCCTGCTCAAAATAACTGCTAATAATTGTGTTAAAATGATAAGGCGAAAGAATCAGTTAAGAGTTGTCTAGCATCGGTGAGATGGCTTATCACATAAGAGCACTTGCTGCCCACACTGATATTCTGAATTCCAGCCCTGTAATCCATATAAAGGAAGGAGAAAACCGACTCCTATAAATTATCCTCTGACCTCCACATGTGTGTCATGTACACATCCCCCCCACACACTAAATTAGAATAAAATAGAATTTTATGATACATGTAGGATATTTACATAGTTATGCTCTGATAAGCACTGAATGACAAAGTTTTTGTCTTTTTTCTATACAGCAATTTCTTCTTTGCTAAGGACACATCTACTTATGGAAATTAATGTCTTGTTTTGGCCCATGAACTTTTGTATAGCAATATTTTCTTAAGGGGCCTTGATAACTACCTCATAGACCAATTCATAAAAGACAGCATGGTCTGGAATTGCTTAGTTGCATTCCTGACCACCCCAAATAAAGGATAACATTTGAAATGCAATAAAAAGTAGTCACGATTAATTGTGATGGAAATGTCTCTGGTTAAGGTTAATAGGGAGTGAATCTCCCACTTGCCTGGATTGCCCAGCAGATGTGCTCAGATGTAGTAATTGCTGCCTTCTGAGAACAGAATTTTCTAAGACTCCTGATTTTTAGTATTTGCTGTTTTAAGTATTTTATATTTATATGTTAAACATATAGTTATATGTTAAGTCCTTTAAGTATCAACCAGGATTTGTTTCGATTGGTTGGTTGGGGAGTAACTGAAGGTTTGTTACCTATTAAGTTTGATTTATTCTACCCTAGTATTTTGTGATGATTGGATACCTTGATTTCATAATTTCATCCAACCAAATGGTTGGTATCCAGAAACTATCAAGGAACACATTGCTTGTAACAGTAACAGCCTCTGGATCAGGCTTTACAAGAACTCAAGGAGTAGGGGCACATGTCTGTAACCCCGGCATCCAGGAGGCTGAGACAGGAGGATCACAAGTTCCCTAGCATGGTCTACATAGTGACACTCTGTTAGAAGGAGGAAAGGAGGGAGGGAGAGAGTGGGGAGAGGAAGGGAAGGATGAGGTCAGAGAAGGAGAGTGCTGAGCTTGAAATAAATCCGTGACAAGTTGAAAGAGTTACCATGTTACTATTGTTTAAAGAACACTGGCAGTAGAGAAACCTGGGGCCTCTAGGTTAGACCTGGGTCCTCTAGGACCTGGGTATGTAGTTTGATACAAAATACTTCACAAGTGATCTTTTTATTTCTTGTTGTAATTTTATGGCAAACTCAAATGCTTTCAGGGTCTAGACTATTAACACAATCAAGAAACAAGTTTGTATGTCAAGAAGAAATGACAATATTAGTTCCTTCAGCGTGTCTTTTATTTGTTGTTTTTGGCAGATACTATTTGTATCAGGTAGTAATTTCTATGAGTGCCTTGTAACAATAACTCAGGGATTCAGGACTTCAAAGCACTCAGTTTATTCTCCTATATTTGCTTGTTGACTGTGAGGCTGTGCTGCTCCAGGGTAGGCTGGGCCAGACTCCTCTGCTGCTCAGTGAACATCTGTAGGGGAAGCTCTGTTCCACATGGACTCATTTGAAGCTCGGGATGAAGGGGCATCCATGACCAGGAAAACTCTTCTTGTGACAGCAGCAGAGGCAGAAGAGTTAAACAAACGTACAAGTGGCATAGGCCTGGTCTTGAACTAGCTGTTGTGTTCCACTCCATTTCATTGGCCAGAGCAAGGTACATGACTGAGTCAGGGACTGGAGAATTCATTTTACCAAGGTGGAGAACGTGGTGAAGGGACAGATACTAGGAAGCATGGAGAGCTGAGGCCTGTCCTTCAGCATGTTAAGAGATAAATTATAGAGAAAGATTTCTAAATTATAAGAAAAAAACATCAGAATAATGATAATGCTCAGCTACAGATGGCCTTAGTGTTTTCATATAATTAAGAGTGATGGGCACTGAAGGACATTCAAGAGCCCATGCCTCTTTAAGGAGCGGGGGTCACTAAGCTCTGGTGAACATGGCTGTGAAGTGGGCCTAGGGTTGTGGGACCTTCTGATGGTCCAAGGTGAGTCATGTAGTGTCCGTTTTTATATGAAATCTGGGGATTTG